AAAATGTTTAAAAATAAATAATAATAATAGCATGAAAATCTCAAATTATCCGCTTTCACAAAAAATCTTGTATGAAATTTGTTGCGAAAAGAGAGTTTTAAGCACTCGACACATTAGTAAGTGCAGTAATTTTGCGTCCCGTGCTTAAAACACATTCATTTCGCAACTTGTTACATAAATTACTATTTCGAAACCAGTTTAATTTGACATCGAAAGATTGAATTTGAAGGTGGCATGTTTGCTATTCTATCTATATCGTATTATTTTTTTGTTTAATTTAGTATTTTTGTAACTCAAGCACGAATTCGTATAAATCATTCAAAATTAACAATTTGCTTCATTTTAAGGAGTTCTTTGAAAAGTTTCAAATACATTTAATGTACTGTAAAATAAAATGGGGAGAACTTATTCATTATTTTTAAAATTTACATGGGATTTTCTATGTCCATCCACGTCGGCGATGCAACAGCTACCTTCTGTTTACATAAAATATTATATTATGTAACTGAATAGGACAATGCACACTATCCATTCCATTTCCCTTCCGTTCCATATCCTATCTGTTAACATTTTGATGATATTTATTTATTCTTTCACCTCTTAATTAAATCTATTACCTTTTTTAAATCATAAAACTTTCGTAATGATATAAATGGTACAATAAAAAGTATGGAACTGATACGGAATGGAAGCTTACGTATAGCGTCAATACAATAAAAAATACGGAACGGATATGCAATGGAATCGGAAGGTATAGTGAGAATGAACCTTTAGACGTGTTTTTTTTTCGGCAAGTTTTTGGTCTTCGTCGAAAGTCTTCGGCAAAAGAAATCATTTGTTGCCTATAGCATCTCTTGATATTTTTATCTGCCAGCGGGCATCTGTGTCGTAATGACAGGCCTGACCAGACGAGCAATTTTTTTTCTCGTCCAGGCCGAATTAACCAAAATTAAACGCCTCTCCCGCTCGCAAGACAATTTCCAATTATTCTCGATTTAAGTAAAACCCACTTAATAGATCGAATAGTTACGGCTTGTCTTGCTCGCCTGGCGTCCCTCTTAATGGATTCAACTTTGATTAATGATCGATCTCGGGCGGCTAGGATTGTAGTATTACAGGCTATATGCCCGGCGTTCGTCTTGCAGGCTTTTTTTGCCTCGATTCTGTCGAATTTTGACCGACCGATGGATAGACGAGGTTCGTGTCCGGTAATAGCCCTGACCGATATTATTTTTTCCCAGAACCAGAAAGCATTTCTTGGTTGACGTTGTTTTGTGATTTTTGATTCTTAAAAGTAATAGTTATTTTTTATACAAGACGATAATGCAATTTTATCGTCGTGTATAAAACAATATTTTTTTCGATAGCGAGTTACGTTTTAAAAAATATTCAGAAATTATTATTTCAAGGAATGTATTACGAGTAGAAAAAATATTGTGCTGGATTGGCGTTGGTTTCTATGTAATTTGACAAATAAATAAAGTTGCCTCTTTAGTTGTCAGTTTTGAGTCAATATTTTTTAATTCTCTTTTGTGTCGATTTCTGACTGAATTGGAGCCAGAAATGGCTCAAAACGAAATGAGTAAATTATCAACAGATATTCAGGCTGAGGCGACAAACGCCATATCCAAACTACTTCCATTTAAATCCCGAATAACTTATGAAAAGGAATACAAAAATTTTCAAAAATGGAAGCAATTAAAAAACGTACGAGAAGAAATAAACTTTTTAACCTATCGTGTCGCTGTTAAAGTATCATTTAATCTACCCTTGGGGTTAAAGTACGATTTTTGATAGATACAAGGCAATTTTAACAGTTGCTATGTATGAAAAATAACTATTAATACTGCGCGTATCTGCGAAACCATTGGTATAGAATTTTGAAAATTCTAGATTAAGATTACGATATTTATAGGAAACTAAGTACAGATCAACTAAAGTAAATAGGTACCTAGTATAGTTTTGGATTTCAAGACATTTCTTATATTTTGAATAATTTTAATTATGAAGTAGTTAATCTAACCTGTCTTTCCGTCAAATCTAAAGAAGCTGCTATCTCTATCCTTCTCGGCCTGCAGAGGTATTTGTTAAAATGGAATTCTTTTTCTAATTCTAATAGTTGGGTGTTGGTGTACGCCGTTCTAAGTCGTCTGGGTAGTCCATTTTCTGAAACAAAACAGAGACACCTTTAAAATCGTTCAACAGAAATATTATATAAAATTCTTAATACAAAATATTGCACAGAATTAAACTCTGAATAGGTCCACTTCTATGGCAACGATGGTTCATTTACCCTAATAAATACTCTCAATACTCTAGAAAATATTTGCATTTATAAGGAACCTATTTGAGTCCTATCTTTAAAAAAAAACTTGGGGACAAGACAATCCATATAGCTTTTTGTCAATATAACGAATATTGAATCATCAAATTCGAAGTATCTTCTTGAAGCGAGGAGATAGTAGAGAGAGACATAGTAAAACCTTCATTCAAAGACAAAATTCTAAATCAACAAAGAAGCTGCTAGTGCTCAGTAGTGCTGGATAAAGTGTGGATTACAACTGGCCTTTTGGTAGTATATATGGTTGTGAAGGGCTATACCTGAAGAAGCTCAACCTGTATAAAGGAATTGTTTGCTACAGACTCTTCAGATTCATTTCACTCTTTCTATAGATGATGAAAGATTCGAGAAGTAATTTGAAAAAAAAAAATATCCGAAAAAATCAAGCAGAAATACTAACAATTTATAAGTATACAGCTTCTCAAGAAAGGCCATCTCACACTTATCCACTCAGGAACGCGGAGCAAGATCTTTATCTACCTACCCCACGCTAAGAGTTAGTTAAAAGATCAATATTATACAACTCGAAAAAAATGCACAATCTGCCATTTGAAATCAATTCCATAACATCATTTTCTTCATTTCGCAAAGCATTGAAATCTTATTTACTAGACAAGGCTTTCTACGCCGTAAATGACTTATATTTTGATAATCGAATTTGATCTTGTAAACACTGGTCTAATATTTGCTATTACTATATTTACTATAAACTTACTAAATATTTTTGAATCTTATTTTTATTTTTTTATTCTTTGACATTGTAAACATTTATAAATGTTTATTTTAGACAATAAGACTGACAATGTAATTTGTATACTTGTTTTATATTCTTTTTTGTTTGTTTGTTTTACTACTTTTTGCTCTTTTTTTTGTAAAATTTTTTGACAATAAAGGCATTTATTTATTTATTTATACTATCAGTTATTACTAAGAAAGCAGTAAAAGATATCTCAGCGGCGCATTAAAAAGAGAAGAAAAAAAGCAAGAAAAGAAAAAAAAAGAAAATAAGAAAGAAAAAAAAGAAAGAAAGAAAAAATTAAAGAAGAACAGTTTGCCCAAAATCTGTCTACATCAAATGTATAAACAATGATCTAAAAAATGACAGAAAATATAATATACCTTTTAATTAAAATACCAGATTCAACTGTCACTGTCAAATATCCTTCCGAGACTACAGATAATTTCACAACCCGAATAATTATTTGTAACATTAACAGTACAAAGGTCTCCCAATCTTTGTTAGAGTTGTTTCTATGATAAGCGCCGAATGTGATGCGCCAATATTTATAAATACATCTGTGTTTCGACGTTTCGAAAAGAGGGACACTTCCTCATCAGTCAACGGAAACCGAGAAAGCCGTCTGTCGCGCTATTTTGACGGCTCAGGTGCGCGTTCCGAATGATTGACACCGATAAAAAGAGTGGCGAAACAATTTCTTGGCAGGACTCGCCTAGTCTGACGCTTATTTTTAAGTTTTTCGATCTTTTTTTTAAAATACTATTTCGAATTTAAGTATTTTGTTTTTTTATCTGTAACAAAAAATACAAAATTTACTTTATGTTTTAAACACACGCTTTTTTGGAATAAAAACATTATTACAAGCACGTAACATGATTTATAGAGAAGCTGAACAAATTAGGCATAAAAAAATCTTCCTACTCTGAGTGCCACCCAACCAAGGTAATGAAAAAGCAAACGATATAGCTAGAAAAGGAGCGAACACTCCACTAACTGGACCAGAGCCGTTCTGTTTCCCAAGTGGAAACCAACTTAAAGCAGAACTCTGCTTTCTGAGTACTTGAGTTCATATGGAACTGGCATTTCCATATGAACCCAAGTGTCAGGGTGAGAGACAGACAGAAGACAGATTTTTAGTAAGATCTTACCGTAGTATAACAACCCAAGTTCGTTCAACAAAGTTGAAGAGATAATATTTTGAAAAAACTGTATAACAAAACAATTTAAATGAAATAAAGGAACCTACGTTGTGTAAAAATATTTTTTTATTGTGATTACCTTGGATGTGCGCTCGACAGAAGCAATATTCTGGGAAATTTGAGGAGGCTAGGTTATGTAAATCAAACACTAAATTTGTAAATAGCCCTACTTATTTTATTAAATGAAATGAAAGGAGTGCCGTACTCTGCCTGGAATTCACAAGTAAAAGAGCACGACAGAGAAAACCCTGATCACTATTCCAGAGAATCGAACTATGCTCAGCATAGTTGGATTCTCTGGAATAGTGATCAGCAGTGCTGATCAGATGTGCTGATCACATGCTCAGCAGTGCTGTTCTGAACTTTAATTAAAGAGAAATAATAATAATACAAATACTGCCTTTACTGTCTTCATACTAAGGTTTGAGATATCATAATTATGATACATTCATAACTAAAGAGGTTTTGTTAGTTAGCAGGTCCTCACCTGCAGGTACTGAGGACCCTGGAGGCTACTCAGCTAGAGTTGGTATGGTTAGTGCCAATATCTTTAGACTATGAGTTATGCTATACCATTTATTGGTTTTGACTGCTCATTTGTGTGTTAAGATATTCGCCCAGGCACGGTTTCAAATTATTAGTACACGCAACAAGGCCCTTATTGTCACACTATTAAACTCTGTTATATCAAAAGTACTGTTGTCATAAGTTGTGTCTCAAAAAGTCATAGTGAACCAAAAACATCGGCACGAATGTACAGTAAACCATAGCATTTAGATTTAATTTTAGACTAGAAATTATTCACAGCATAAATAGAATCTATTAAGTACATACACATGCTATATAATACCTTTGTTAGATCAAATAAATAAGGAAAAGCTTGATCACAGAATATTACAACAGAAAAACAAAATATATGCTTTAGTTAACATTAGTTAAATAATGTCTTAAAAATAAATGTTCTGATTTAAAGAGATATACTTATTTTTAAATAGACGGTTCATGTCACTATTTTGTAGCGAAAATAAACGTGATAATAGTAAGGTTAAAATTATTTTCATTGCTAATAATCCCGGAATTTTTAAAAACCAGAAAAGGGTTTTCTAAAATTTTGCATTCGTGAAATTTTGTTCCTGGCTATTTCCATACAAATAACTCTCGTGCAATCGCAATTCGCACGATAATTTTTAACGGAAAGCAAGCGAGAAGAGAGAAAAACTAACTTCTCGGTCTCTTTTTTTATTCTTTGACATTGTAAACATTTATAAATGTTTATTTTAAACTGACTATATACGATATAAGATAAGACTGACAATGTAATTTGTATACTTGTTTTATATTCTTTTTTGTTTATTTGTTTTACTACTTTTTGCTCTTTTTTTTTGTAAAATTTTTTGACAATAAAGGCATTTATTTATTTATTTATACTATCAGTTATTACTAAGAAAGCAGTAAAAGATATATCAGCGGCGCATTAAAAAGAGAAGAAAAAAAGCAAGAAAAGAAAAAAATAAAGAAGAACAGTTTGCCCAAAATCTGTCTACATCAAATGTATAAACAATGATCTAAAAAATGACAGAAAATATAATATACCTTTTAATTAAAATGCCAGATTCAACTGTCACTGTCAAATATCCTTCCGAGACTACAGGTAATTTCACAACCCGAATAATTATTTGTAACATTAACAGTACAAAGGTCTCCCAATCTTTGTTAGAGTTGTTTCTATGATAAGCGCCGAATGTGATGCGCCAATATTTATAAATACATCTGTGTTTCGACGTTTCGAAAAGAGGGACACTTCCTCATCAATCAACGGAAACCGAGAAATCATACATACAAAATACATACACATGCTATATAATACCTTTGTTAGATCAAATAAATAAGGAAAAGCTTGATCACAGAATATTACAACAGAAAAACAAAATATATGCTTTAGTTAACATTAGTTAAATAATGTCTTAAAAATAAATGTTCTGATTTAAAGAAATATACTTATTTTTAAATAGACGGTTCATGTCACTATTTTGTAGCGAAAATAAACGTGATAATAGCAAGGTTAAAATTATTTTCATTGCTAATAATCCCGGAATTTTTAAAAACCAGAAAAGGGTTTTCTAAAATTTTGCATTCGTGAAATTTTGTTCCTGGCTATTTCCATACAAATAACTCTCGTGCAATCGCAATTCGCACGATAATTTTTAACGGAAAGCAAGCGAGAAGAGAGAAAAACTAACTTCTCGGTCTCTTCGAGAAAGTTTGAAAAATAAGGAGAAAAAGACGCAGAAACAAATTCGCTGATAATTTGAATATGTGCCTGGGCAAAGTAAATCTCCGCGCTACAAGATGTTTTTATCGTCGCCAAAGTCTTTTCTCGAGTTCCGCGGGGAGAACCGGGGGTTTCCTGCCCCCTACAACCCCCGACCGTCTAGTTAAGGGGTAAAACCACCCCGAGCGCAGTGGCGTCAACAAAAGTCATGTCCACGGAGTGCCGCATTTTAGTTGAGAATTGAGTTATTAAGTTAAACAAAATTAAAAGTGTTATAAGCTAACGTCTCTTTTTAATAATGATAATTTTTAAATAATTTAATTTTACCGTGTGTCTAATTTGACACTAACACACGAGATAGCCGATTTCATATATTATACAGGATGGCGCACCTCATTCGCCTCGGTTGATTATACGAAAACGGAAAGATGTAGAAACAAAATATTTTATGGGTATATGTGGAAAGGCAATGTGCATAATTTAAAATTATTTTGAAATGTAAAGGGTGTGTCAGAACTGAGATCCATACCAAAGTTATATTTTTCTTATGAACACCCGGTATTTTATATCAGTTTTTGGATTCTTGGGCCCAAAAAGGATTTATTATAAGGGTTAAATATGTTTAAAATCTTTAGTTTTTGAGATATTTAAAGACATTTAAATTTGCATGCTACAATAGAATAGACTATTAACACCCTGTACATTACTTTTCATAATTTTTTTTAAGTTTAAAGGTAGAGAAATAAACTTTACTGAAAAATGGTATTGGTTTCTTAAATTTATACAGGTCTATCAAAAGTTGCTGATCTATTTTAAGGATATATTTTATATAAAAACTTTGTTATTTCAAATATAACACCCTGTATTTTTTTAAATAAATTGAAGCAGATTCCAATGCTCTTTCAAACTATATTAGGGTTTCCTATATCTATCTAACTCAGATTTTGAATAAAAAGCGAATTTTAAATAAAATTGAGATGGCTGGTGTCGCCATGGCAATTTTTTAGTAAGAGTTAGGAACTATTTTCAAAGTCGACATTAGTTTATGGATATTATTATTTATAATTTATAACAGTTTACTTAAATTTACCTATTTTATCAAGAAAAATAAAGCAGTATCTGCTGGCGGAACGAATAGATATGTTAGTAGTGATATTATTTTGTGAGGAAAATTGCTTCTTGGCCTCAAGGGCTTATGCTCAAAGATATCCAAATAGGAATCTTCCTGATAAGAGTTTCTTTGAAAAACTTCTTGTCCTATTTCGCCTGGTAGTGTGGTTTATAAAAAAACTATTAGGCAGAAACTTGTCGTTGGAAGTGAAGAAAATGAATTTTCCGTAATTGGCTCTTTTATAGAAAATCCACGTATCTACAAGTCATCGTAAAATAATTCAAAGACTACGTACTTCTTCGTTTTTCTTGATAGAATAATAAACATATGTTTAATAAATATTATTTATTAAACTATTGTAGGTAAATTAAATAAAAGTAAACCGGTATAAATTTAAACAAGTCCATAAACAAATTTCGATTTTGAAAATAGCTACTAACTGTCACTAGATACTTGCCATGACAACACTAGCCATCTTGATTACAATTTTATTGAAAAATCGCTGTTTATTCAAAATCTGAGCCAGATAGGTACAGGAAACCCTAATATAGTTTGAAAGAGCATTTAAATCTGCTTCGACTTATTTAAAAAAATACATAGTGTTGCATTTGAAATAACGAAGTTTTTATGTAATATAAATATTTCAAATAGACCAGCAATTTTTGATACCCCTGTATACATTTAAGGAAGGAATAACATTTTTCTGTAAAGTTTATTTCTCTACCTTTAAACTCAGTACAAGAACTAATTCTGAAAAATAATGTACAGGGTGTTAATAATCTATTCTATTGTAACATGCAAATTTAAATATCTTTCAATATCTCAAAAACCAAAGATTTTAAACATATTTAACCCTTATAATAAATACCTTTTTTTGGTCCCAAGAATCCAAAAATGAAATAAAATACCGCATGTTCCATAAGAAAAAATGTAACTTTGGTATGGATCTTAGTTCTGAAACATCCTGTACAATTCAAAATAATTTTAAATTGTGCACATTACCTCCCCACATATACCCATAAAATATTTTTTTTTACATCTTTCCGTTTTCGTATAATCAACCGAAGCGAATAAGGTACGCCACCCTGTATACAGGGTGAGTTTCCTACGATGTTCTCTATGGGTATCTCGGAAACTACTGGAGATAGAGAGTCGGTTAAATGGGGAAAGAATTGCAGTTTTGTGGGGTCATAAATATGCGCCTTTCAGATTTTTGAAAAAGTTCATGGCTTACTAGATATTTCGAAAAAAACAAATTTGCGGCTATTTTAAAAATTGTCCCTAACTCCATTATAAGATGTTTTAGA